AAATTATTAACTGCAAAAATGTTTTCCTTAAATTTTAGACTGCTAGACCTCATCTTTTGATAATGTTTTATTTTAACATCCACATTTTATAGTATAAATAAAACCCAGTTCAAACCCAAGGCACACACAAAATAGGAAAGAATAAACACAAAATAGTAAATATTTAGAGGTATGAATGAATGTTAATTTTTAATGGACAGACTTCGTCTGATCATTAAAAAAACAAATCGTGCCAAATTCCAATATAAACTGTTTCACACGCAAAAAAAACTGTTTATTTCAGAATATTTTTATACTTTACTATCTCGCAAATGCAATAAAGGCAATCAAATATTCTTATTTCCATTACGCTTTGAGCATATTCACATCAAAAATAAAAAAATTAGATATCAATATTGCTGCTGTTCTGTATTTTCTTGATTTACATTTTTCTTGCAAAAAGATAGTTGTTTCTTCGACAACAATGTCGCGTTTCTGCAGTGCTGCAGGTTGCTCAAGCGAGTATCATAACAAGTTACCTAACATTTCATTTCATACAGTACCAAAAAATCCTGATATTGCAGCAGCGTGGAGAAAAGCGGTTGGTAAAGAGAAAAGTGTTAAGCGACTTGAACTTTGCTCTTTGCATTTTGACGAATCATGTTTTGACAAATCTCACGAAATGATCCAACTTCTTATACCTAACAAAATCAAAAGAATGAACAAAAAACTCCTTCCTAATTCTGTTCCAACAATATTTCCATGTCAATATAATCAGGTAAAACTATTAATAATTTTTTTGCCTTGATGACTTTGTTTTTATATCAAATTTGTGTATATTAATCTAAAACTTAAAAAAAACAGCATTAAAAGTTCTCAAATTTTTACAGCTTCAATCGGATTTAGTGCAGCAAAGCTCGTGCATTGAATCAGATTATGTTATTTTGGAAAGATAAGAAATATTACAAGATGAACCAAATTTAATAGCTGAGGAGAATTTGCTTAATTGCAATGTTGCAACACAAACACAGCGACCGCAAAATCTTTGGAAAAAAGACGCAAGCACCATCACAACCACGCAAAAAAGTTATCGACATTTTGGTTGTCAAGTAAATATAATTTCACCTAAAATTAAAAAAATTAATAAAAGTTGTCAATTCCCTATAGATCAAAATCCCAAGAATTATTATTTTGTAGGAATTTTGGTGCAGCTGACGGAGATACATTAAACAATTGCAATAAAGTTAATGTTTCAGTAAATTTTAATCACAATTCATATATCAATATATCTAATGAAAGTGATGAAACAGCTGGCAATAATGATTTACTTGAGGATGATTATGATGACGATGATGAGAAACATTGTAATAATCCTGAAGATATTGAATACATTGATGACTATGATTCAGAATACACCCCTACTTCATCAGATGAAATGGATACCGATAACGAATTAAACACTACAGATTCAAAAATAAAAAGAGAGTGTAACGATCGTTCGCTATTTGTTTACGAAAAAAATTTATACGAGCTATTAGCACATTGTCCAAAGTGCAGCGCTTTCGTTGATCGATCTATGATAAAAGAAGTTAAAAATAACGGCTCGCAGCTTTGTTTAAAATTTACCTGTTTTAATGAGTGCAAGGTTGAATGGAGTTCACAACCAACAGTGGGACGGTTAAAAGGTTTAGGCAACTTATTTATCTCTTCCTCGATAGCATTTTCAGGAATACCGTTTGCTAAGTTTCAACGGTTTGCTTATATTGCGAACTTAAAGTTGTTTTCAGATGTTACATATTACGAGATTAAAAAGAATTATATTGTGCCAGTTGCACCACAAAAGTGGAATAGCGAACGGCGAAAGATGATAAAGTTGTCTCTCAGTAGAAAAAATCTTATACTTGTTGGCGATGGGAGATGTGATAGCCCTGGCCACAATGCAAAATATTGCACATATACTTTTTTAGAACTCGAATCTGGGTGCGTTGTGGATACAACTGTCATCCCTATGACAGAAGTCACTAATTCCAACTGTATGGAAAAAGCGGGTTTTATTCATCTACTAAAAAAATTTAAAAAAGCCGGATTAAATATCAGTGTAATATCAACAGATCGTCATCCACAAATCCATAAAGTCCTTAAAATGGACTTTATGGATTTGTGGATGACGATCTGTTGATATTACATCAGTTTGACCCATGGCATGTAGCAAAATCAATCAGAAAAAAAAGGATGAAAGCCTCTAAAAACACAAATCTAAAAGATCTTCATGAGTGGATACCAGCAGTAATTAATCATTTTTGGTGGAGCATTGAAACCTCAAAAAAAAATCCGCAACTCATGTATGAGAAATTTAGTTCCCTACTATACCATATAGGCAATATACACAAATGGGGTGGTTGTAAATATTTCAAAAAATGTGAACACGAACCTTATTCACATCAAGAAGAAGAAGAAAGAAACTGGTTGGACGCCAGTTTCGATTCTTTTAAATATTTAGTTAAGATTGTTAAAAATAAATCTCTAAAAAAAACGATGAAACACTTAACTGAGGCAGTTCACACATGTGCTGTCGAAGTTTTTAACAATTTGTTATTAAAATATATTCCAAAACAATATCATTTCGAGTATGAGCACATGGAGATGGGAGGACTTCTAGCAGCCCTTGATCATAACTTTAATGCTGGGCGTTTTTTTGCGTTAGATTGCAATGGCGATGTTAAATATCGTGTTGCATGGAGAAAAGCAAGCAAAAAATTTATTGCTCGAAAAGTTAAAAAACATAAACGTTATGACTACCTTCTCATAATGAAAAAAAGTTTTTTTAAAAGAGCGGAAATTGGAGCGCAACATACCAGTAAAAAACGTGTAATGGCGCCTACACCTATAGAAACAAAAGATAACTTAATAGCAAGAAGCAAAAAAGTGGCCAGATTTAGTTATTGAATAATTTAAGCAGAGGTAAAAATAACTTATTACTTGTTCGCATTACTTGCGTTATTTGCGTTGTAGATAAGATTTTTTTTTTGCGTATTACTGCTTTTTAAGTATTTTTATTAATTTGTAGTTTTAATTTTACTTAAATTTTTTTAAAAAGTATAATTCTCAACATTTTAAATCTTATACGATACAGAGTTAAAAAAAATATTGCGTATTACAGTTCACAAAAAGTATGATTTAATTTTATTAGTTGATGAAAAATCGCAGGCGTTTTATAACTTGATTTCCTTATAGTTTCATGTTTTAAATGAAGTTACGAAAAAATTAAACGTGCGCGCTCCTTAAAAAAAAAATGTCAAAGGTGAATCTAGATGAATGCATAAACAAAAACTACATTTAAATTTTTTTTGGATAATTATGAAATATTTAAAACGCTCTTTTTCCAAGGCCTAATAACTTGCAAGCACTTATGCAGAGCCGGATTAGCCATTTCGTAGGCCTGGGGCAAAACATAACATATTTGCGTTAAATAAATATAAATTTTTTTAAAAATTAAAGCCACAAACAGTGGCTTTAATTTTTAAAAAACAGGAGAAAAAATAACTTGCGTGAGTGATTTATTTTTGAAAAAAGAGGTGCGCTGAACGACAAAGTTTAATAGAGTGAAAGATTTAATAGGGTTTACACTCCAAAGCTGGAAAATAAAAAGATGCGGAAGATGGACTAAAATCTATATCATATAATACTGCCTAAAAGAATTTTGTCACGCTGTCTCATTTTTGTCTAATGACAAGTTTTAAAGTTATTCTGCCCCGCTGTTTTCTTTTAAAAGAAAAGTTTTTCTTCCATCAAAATGTTTAACCGCTTTCATGTTTTTTTAACTTACGTTACATGAAAATTGAAAAAGTTCCTTAATTATTTTCTGGAAATATATATATATATATATATATATATATATATATATATATATATATATATATATATATATATATATATATATATATATATATATATATATATATATATATATATATATATATATATATATAATGGCCAACAACAAGCTGAACATGTTTGCTCCATGATCACGTTAAAATAATTCGGATTATGCACATAAATTCATGGTTAAAAAAACATTTTACAATGATTATTTTTTTCATCAAGCGACAATGAGAATAACTGTCATTTTCAGAACTATAAAAATGACAAAAATAAATTTATTTTTGTACTAGGAAATATTTTAAATAAACTTTCATGTGTCTAGATCAATATGCGTTTGTTAAAAAATGACTAAAAAAATTTGATTTCTATTTCATTTTCTGCCGTGGAATTGCCCTTATTACACAAATTTACAATAAAAATTAAAAAAAAAATTTGATTTACAAATATATTTTCACAAAACGCTACAAAACTTAATCTCATAAGTAATTGTGTTAGTTAAAAAAAACTATTTAACGACTTTACTTTTAAATTTAATTACCATCTAATATGTTTGCAATAATAACATTTTGTCTACTTTGTTTAATATGATGTACAAACGTTAGTTTTTTGAGGCAATAGAGTGAATGAAATTTTGGACAAGACGCATTTTTTTTAATCGAAGAAAAGCGTTTTTTTGAAAATTAAATTTGTGAGTGTGTGTTCATTACTACGTTTTAGAATGAATTATATACAACAAACTTTTTTTTTTTTAATGCTATTTTATATGAGATCATAACTTTATAGCACTTAGGGATCCCTTTAATGAAACTCATTTTTTGATAATTTGTAATTAATTTTTTATGATTGCTTTTTTTTTTTTGAAAAAAAATTAAATTTCACTCCAAAAAATTATAAAAAATAGATAATTTTATTGAAAAAACACAACAAAATACAAATGGTTAAAATTAACATCTTGAATATACTTTTGTGTATATCTGTAAATCTGGCATAAATTTAAACAAAAATAAATTAGTAAATGCTTAGAAACAAAAGCTTAAATTTTAAGCTAGTTTTATTTAATTAATGGTGGGATAATTTACAATTAACAATAGATTGAACTATCATTCAAAAAAAAAAATCTAGCTGCATCTTTAAAATACCTGCTCCTTTCCTCTTAACTTTTTATTTCTCTCCTCTCTGAGTATTATCTTTTGTCTCACTTTTTCACTCATTACACAAGGTTCATAATCTTCATTAGAGACATCAGGTGGAGGATGACAGTAAAGCAATTTACCCTAAACAATGAAGTGTTAAAATACAACTAAATTTTAAATAGAACTTAACATAACAAAACATATGAAATGCTTTGTTATTTTATGTTCTATTTAAAATAAAATAAAAACAAAACATTTGAACAAATTAATGAGCTATAAAACTTCTAGTCAAACAATAAAATCAACATTTAAAATAACTCAAAATCAACATTTAAAATAACTCAAAATCAACATTTAAAATAACTCAAAATCAACATTTAAAATAACTCAAAATCAACATTTAAAATAACTCAAAATCAACATTTAAAATAACTCAAAATCAACATTTAAAATAACTCAAAATCAACATTTAAAATAACTCAAAATCAACATTTAAAATAACTCAAAATCAACATTTAAAATAACTCAAAATCAACATTTAAAATAACTCAAAATCAACATTTAAAATAACTCAAAATCAACATTTAAAATAACTCAAAATCAACATTTAAAATAACTCAAAATCAACATTTAAAATAACTCAAAATCAACATTTAAAATAACTCAAAATCAACATTTAAAATAACTCAAAATCAACATTTAAAATAACTCAAAATCAACATTTAAAATAACTCAAAATCAACATTTAAAATAACTCAAAATCAACATTTAAAATAACTCAAAATCAACATTTAAAATAACTCAAAATCAACATTTAAAATAACTCAAAATCAACATTTAAAATAACTCAAAATCAACATTTAAAATAACTCAAAATCAACATTTAAAATAACTCAAAATCAACATTTAAAATAACTCAAAATCAACATTTAAAATAACTCAAAATCAACATTTAAAATAACTCAAAATCAACATTTAAAATAACTCAAAATCAACATTTAAAATAACTCAAAATCAACATTTAAAATAACTCAAAATCAACATTTAAAATAACTCAAAATCAACATTTAAAATAACTCAAAATCAACATTTAAAATAACTCAAAATCAACATTTAAAATAACTCAAAATCAACATTTAAAATAACTCAAAATCAACATTTAAAATAACTCAAAATCAACATTTAAAATAACTCAAAATCAACATTTAAAATAACTCAAAATCAACATTTAAAATAACTCAAAATCAACATTTAAAATAACTCAAAATCAACATTTAAAATAACTCAAAATCAACATTTAAAATAACTCAAAATCGACATTTAAAATAACTCAAAATCAACATTTAAAATAACTCAAAATCAACATTTAAAATAACTCAAAATCAACATTTAAAATAACTCAAAATCAACATTTAAAATAACTCAAAATCAACATTTAAAATAACTCAAAATCAACATTTAAAATAACTCAAAATCAACATTTAAAATAACTCAAAATCAACATTTAAAATAACTCAAAATCGACATTTAAAATAACTCAAAATCAACATTTAAAATAACTCAAAATCAACATTTAAAATAACTCAAAATCAACATTTAAAATAACTCAAAATCAACATTTAAAATAACTCAAAATCAACATTTAAAATAACTCAAAATCAACATTTAAAATAACTCAAAATCAACATTTAAAATAACTCAAAATCAACATTTAAAATAACTCAAAATCAACATTTAAAATAACTCAAAATCAACATTTAAAATAACTCAAAATCAACATTTAAAATAACTCAAAATCAACATTTAAAATAACTCAAAATCAACATTTAAAATAACTCAAAATCAACATTTAAAATAACTCAAAATCAACATTTAAAATAACTCAAAATCAACATTTAAAATAACTCAAAATCGACATTTAAAATAACTCAAAATCAACATTTAAAATAACTCAAAATCAACA